AAGAAAGCAAAAAGGCTCACAAACACATGGAGGCTTAACAACACGCTCCTAAATATTCAATGCATCAAGGACCAAATCAAAATGGAGATCCAGCAATATATGGAAACAAACGACGACAACAACACAAAGCCCCAACTACTGTGGGATACAGCAAAAGGAGTCTTAAGAGGAAAGTATATAGCAATCCAGGCATATGTAAAGAAGGAAGAACAACCCCAAATGAATGGTCTAATGTCACAATTATCGAAATTGGAAAAAGAAGAACAAATGAGGCCTAAGGTCAGAAGAAGGAGGGACATGATATAGACCAGAGAAGAAATAAACAAAATTGAGAAAAATAAAACAATAGCAAAAATCAATGAAACAAAGAGCTGGTTCTTCAAGAAAATAAAGAAAATAGATAACCGTCTAGCCGGACTTATTAAGAGGAAAAGAGAGTCAACACAAATCAACAGAATCAGAAACGAGAAGGGAAAAATCATGACGGACCCCACAGAAATACAAAGAATTATTAGAGAGTACTATGAAAACCTATGTGCTAACAAGCTGGGAAACCTAGGAGAAATGGACAACTTCCTAGAAAAATACAACCTTCCAAGAAAGAAACAGAAAATCTAAACAGACCAATTACCAGCAACGAAATTGAAGTGGTAATCAAAAAACTACCAAAGAACAAAACCCTCGGGCCAGATAGATTTACCTCGGAATTTTATCAGACATACAGAGAAGACATAATACCCATTCTCCTTAAAGTTTTCCAAAAAATAGAGGAGGAGGGAATACTTCCAAATTCATTCTATGAAGCCAACATCACCCTAATACCAAAACCAGGAAAAGGCCCCACCAGAAAAGAAAACTACAGACCAATATCCCTGATGAACGTAGATGCAACAAAATATTAGCAAACCGAATTCAAAAATACATCAAAAGGATCATACACCATGACCAAGTGGGATTCATCTCAGGGATGAAAAGGATGGTACAACATTTGAAAATCCATCAACATCATTCACCACATCAACAAAAAGAAAGACAAAAACCACATGATCATCTCCAAGGATGCTGAAAAAGCATTCGATAAAATTCAACATCCATTCATGATAAAAAGTCTCAACAAAATGGGTATAGAGGGCAAGTACCGCAACAAAATAAAGGTCATACATGATAAACCCACAGCCAACATCATACTGAACAGCGAAAAGCTAAAAGCTTTTCCTCTGCGATCGGGAACAAGACAGGGATGCCCACTATCCCCACTGTTATTCAACATAGTACTGGAGGTCCTAGCCATGGCAATTAGACAAAACAAAGAAATACAAGGAATCCAGATTGGTAAAGAAGAAGTTAAACTGTCACTATTTGCAGATGACATGATATTGTACATAAAAAACCC